AGTTCGTCCCCGCGCGGTGCAGATGTCCAGTCGCCCCAGGTCCGGTCATCTGTCCCAGCGTCTGTCCTCCAAGACTCGTCGTCCCAGACATACTCAGGCGAGTGGCTGGACGCGCAGTGCCCGATGGGCTCAGTTCCTCGGGATCGTGCTCCTCCTGCTTGTGCCAGCTGTCGTCGGCAGCATGGCATGCCTGTGGCGGCCTAGAATACCTGGTTTCCCCCTTGCCCTTGCCCTTGCAAGGGTTCCGGGGGGGGGTGAAAGTGGAGCTCCTGCCCGAGTCTCCCTTGCCCTTTTGGCGGATGTCGATACGACCGTGATGAAGGATCAAGACAAATTTGATCTCGTCGAAGCTGGTCACCTTACCTGTTGATGTCAGTACCATCGAATTCCCTGAAGATGGGAGTCATGTGTGGTCCAAGAAAGCACATCCAAACACGTCGTCGTCAGTCATCACAAGGTTCGGGTCGCGATTAGAGAAAAACTTCCACCAGCGCTTTCTGTGCGATATGCAAGAAGCCATCGACTCAACGTTCTTTCGAAACATGGGCCCGTATGGTCTCTCTCCTACCTGGAACAGGACCTTGGCTTCCAGATCCCCTATGGGGAAGGAAGATCGAAGTGCGGATCGCTTCTAGCAGCTGCTCGATCTCTGTCTTGGTCGGAAGCGTGTCTTCACCGATATCCATGGCTATATCGAATGCGTCGCCTCCGAGGCCCTCTATCACCTTACTGACGGCTGCGGTGACAATGTGTGGCTGTGGCACTCCCGTCTCAGGGTCGACGGAGGCCAAGGTAGCATTCATGCGCATCTCTGTGCGGAATCCCCATTCATACAACTTGTTCACCGTATCGTCGTAGATGTAATTAAGAACCAAGTTTCGTCTTTGACCGTGTCAGCGACTCAGCATTCGGTCGGTAGCGAAGAGAAGACAGTGCCATGGCGCAGGCAGGCGACAAGACAGTCCACAGTCCCTTTGTAAGGGTAACTGCTCTGGCAAGTGTGGTGTGGTCGTGAGGAACTCTCTCCAGAGAGACGAGTCCTGCGCAGTGGTGCGGTTGCAGAGGACCGTGTAGCAGTTCCGCTGCCAGGTGTGAATAAGGATGCTCTTTGTGCCAATAACAAAATAAGCCCTTTGAGGGCCTAACGGCAGCTCGTGAGTGGCGCACGTACGTGTCGTGCACACAAACACACACACACACCATATCGCAGGGGTCTTCGGGTAGCAAGCGGTTTGGCATTATCCAAATGCCTGCGGCAAATACCTCATCTCCGAGCCTCCATCACAACAGGTGGGAGGTCGCGCAAGCGCGCGGCCGCGAGACCTCGAGCGCGGGCGGGTCCGAGATCAACCGACGGCTGAACCCGGACCCGGCTGAACTCAGAACCAAAACCTCGGACCCGGCTGAACTCGGACCTGGCTGATCTCGGACCCGCTGAACTCGGACCTGGCTGGTCTCGGACCTGGCTGAAGTCGAACCCGGCTGAACTCGGACCTGGCTGAACTCGGACCCGGCTGATCTCGGACCCGGCTGAACTCGGACCTGGCTGAACTCGGACCCAGGTGTTCCAGCTGCAGCGCGGACCTCGGTCTGAGTTCACGTGGGTCTGAGTTCAGCTGGGTCCGAGTTCAGCCGGGTCCGAGTTTCCTGAGCCCGAGAGCTGGGTCCGAATTCAGCTTTAGTCCGAGTTCAGCTGGGTCCGAGCTCAGCCTGGGTGCGAGTTCAGCTGGGTCCGAGTTCAGCTGGGTCCGAGTTTCAACTGGTATCCTAGCAAGCTCTACTTGTAGCCTGAAAGTGTTCGGCATCGGATGGCATAGATTGTCACACGGATCGTGCCCCTCAGAGACAGGCTTGGCGTAGCGTCCCCGCGACCATGTCGGCACACCCCTCACAGGGATCGCGCCCCACAGGGAGCTCCACCTACATCCCAAGAGACAAGATTCGCACAGTGGCACGCCTCTCACGCGGATCGTGCCCCGCAAGGAACTGCATTTGCGGCACCAGAGGGAAGCTTCATAGCGTCGCCCCGCTCATTTCGGCACACCTCTCACACGGATCGTGGCCAGCGAGGAGTTCCACGGACGGGCCAAGAGAAAAGGTTCGCACCCTGCCCTCCCGCCTACTTCGGCACACCTCTCACACGGACCGTGGCCCACAGGGATCTCCACCTACTGCCCCAAGAGGCAGGGTTCGCACTGCGCCCCCCCCTGGCCATTGCGGCACACCCCACCACGCGAATCGTGCCCACAAGGAGCACCATCCGAAGGCCCGCCCCAGAGACAAGGTTCGTACAACGCACCCCCCGCCCATGTCGGCAAACCTCTCACGCGATCATGCCCCAAACGGAGCTCCACATATGGCACCAATGTGCAGCGGCAGCTTCGAGTGGCGTCCACCAGCCCCTTTTGGAACATGCCTCGCACGGGTCGTGCCCAGAGGAGGTCCACCTGCGACCTCACAGGGCGTGTTCGCGCGGGGGCGTCCGAATTATTCGGCATACATTCACGCGGATCGTCCACAACAAGGACTCCATCGCACCCATGCAGGCGGGCTCCGCAGCAACCATATTTCTGCATTGCCCCGCGGCGAGCCGTGTATGAAGAGAGGCCTGCGCTCTGCACCACACACGACTGCATAGGGATGGGTCCGTCGCCAAACCAATTGCTTGCTTGTGTATGGTATTCGGCCCATGCCGCTACTGTGCCTGAGTTTGGTCCAGAAGATTATTTGATACCTGTAATTCAAGTCAAGGTCTCTTGGCATGCTTATCGGGCGCTTCGTGGAACGAGTTTTGAAACTTCTTGTGGCCTCATGTGAACTCTGTGAGGGCCCCTTGGGGCCTCTTTTGGGGCCCTTGGGGGCCTTTTGGATGCCCGCTGCGGCCTCGGGGGCGCGATCGTGGCGGAAGGCTCGAATTGTCAGTTGGAAGTTCCCCTTGTGGACTCCCCTTGGGGCCCTCTTGGGCCGTCTTGGGCGCTTCTTGGACTGCCTTGGGGCTCCATGGGGCCGTCCTAAGGCCCTGGGCCTCTTGGGCCGTCTTGGGGCGATCCGCGGAGCCTACTGGGGAGTTGTGAACGCTGGTAAAACTTAAAGTGCGAATCTGCACAATGCACGTTCCCCACAAGGCATGAAACAATGTTGGTTTCCTGGGGCTCTCACGGGGTGCATCTTGGAGCCTTCTTAGCCCTGCCTGGGAACGGGGACGCACTGCAATTTACACTGGATCGTGGTCCTTGGGGGAGCGGCGGCAGCGCAATTCACAAGGGATTGTGACCGTGGGAGCGCGGGCGCAGCGTAATTTGCAATGGATCGTAGCCCTCTGAGCACACAAGCGCAATTATTTACTAATCGTGGCCCTGGAAGCGCGGGCGCCGTGCAACTAACAAGGATCGTGGCCCTGGGAGCGCGGACGCAGCGCAAGCTACTGGGGATCGTGGCCATGGGAACGTGACCCCATATGAATTTAAAAGAAACGCTGTCCTGGGAGCGCACCTCCAGCGTAATTTACAACAAGAATTTGGGCTCTAGAAGCGCGAACCCAACGTGATTCACGAGGGATCGCGGCCTTGGGAGCGCGGACGCAACGTAATTTGCTAGGATTCGCGCCTTTGGGTCCAGCGCCGAATTTTCAGGAAACGGGGGGGGGCACGGAAAGCGTCACCCGAACACAGATCCCAATGCAGAAACATAGTTTTCTTCTCTGGAGAGGGGGGAGGGAGCTCTTTTACGCAATCTCCGCGGAATGCTCTGCGGCCATGGGAACGCGGACGCAACGTAATTCACTAGGGATCGTGGCCCTGATAGCGCGCACGCACCGCAATTCACAGTGGATCCCGGCCCTGGGAGCGCGGACGCAACCAATTTACGAGGGATCGTGGCCCTGGGAGCGCGAACCCAGCGTAATGTACGAGGGATCTTGACCCTGGGAGCGCGCGGCGGAATTTACGAGGGATCGTGACCCTTGGGCTCGTGACTCCAGCGAAAGCGGACCTGGGAGCGCGAACCCAGCGTAATGTAAAAGGGATCTTGGCCCTGGGAGCGCGGACGCAGCGGAATTTACAAGGGATCGTGACCCTTGGGCGCGTTCCCTGGCACGTTCTGTGGCGGGTCCCCAGTGGCGAGTCCTGGAGTCCCGTGGCGCGTCCACCTGGCTCACCGCGCGGCATCCCCTGGCACGTCCCCTGACACGTCCACTGGCACGCTCCGTGGCGCGTCCCCTGGCACGTCACAGTGCGGCGCGGCACAGCGCAGAGCAGCACAACACAGCCCTGGGCTCAGTATCATCACCATTGATATCTTCAGCATTTCTACTGCCCATCGCCCGATTGAGGTGATTGGAAACGTTCTCATGTCTCGCAAGTCTGAATCCCTTTCCGAGTTCGTGGGTCGATAATGTTCAGAGCGCGGGATGCCATCTTCGAGAGGCCACCCCCTCGCCCTGCCCCCCTTCAGAAGAAGCAAAACAGCCGCGCAAGCATGCACTTTCGGAGCTCCGCGCGGATTCGTTGGCTCGGCACTGGGCCGTTCAGCGCCGATCCACAAAATCCGCGCGGAGCTTCCAAAGCGTATGTGTTTGCTGCCTTCGGGTAAATCATTTCTGCTCGCTGGCGGCCGTCCTGGACGATCCCGGCGCCCCCAGAGCGCTCTTGGCGAGGAGCAGCCGCTGGAAGTCATCCGGAGGCTGGACAACCGCCGAGAGCCGACGAAAGCATACTAGAACATCAAACCTCGAACCTGGTTTCTTCTTCGACCTCTGTGACCATCGTTTAACCAATCTCCATCCCCACTGGCATGGCCTTGGCCACGCTGGCCGATTTACCTCCCTAAATGGGGATAGAGTCTGTTCCCTTCGGGTTTCGGTGGGCCTACCCCCAGGGGTGATAATGGGGCTGAGGTAACCCTGGCCTGGTGGGGATGGGGATAGGTGAAACGATACAGACTTTGCGCGCCGCTGATGATCGATGCGCCCCGACCAGGAGGGCCAGGACCACCTGAGACGGAGGCGTGCTTGCAGGGCAGTTGCACCAGGGACTCCTCGGGGGGGACGTCGTCCATGCAGATCGCGCACTGGTCGACGCCGCAATCGTCGGCCCTGACAGTCGGGAGGCTCGAGAAGCCATTCTCCGCGCCCGGCTCCTGTCGGCTCCGCGCTCGTCGTCGACTGGCTGGTTTTCTAGCGTTATCGTTGGTTCCTGAATGTTTCCCTGCCTCTGGATATCTTCTAGCAACTGCGCCTCGCCGAGGGCGTTCTGGGGGTGCCCAGATCGAGTTAAGTTATGACCCGAACACCCGACCCTGGCCTAAGGTGTCCTCGGGATTGCCAAGGGTGCCCCCGCGGACGCCAGAACACCGCTCACGGTGCCCGGTGGGCACCAGGGGCTCCCAAGGTGGAGCGAGAAGCTGGGGGCACCTCTGGGGCCAGGGACACTTTCAGCAGCCCCCGATCCTGCGGCTGGAGCCTGAGCATGAAGGAGCTCCTAGCAGAAGACGAGAAGAGCACACACACACACACACACGCACACAATTTCTTGTCCCGGAAAGGGCTGGGGCCCAAGGTTCTCTTTTCGAAGTTTACCCCCGGACTCGACTTGCGTAGGGCCGGCGATTTTATGTCGCGATAAATAACAAGGTTGCGTAGGGCGGGCGAATTAATTAGTTGAGGATGTCCCGAGCGAAACGCTGCTTTTCCCGGAAAGGGCTGGGGCCCAGGGTTGTCTTTTAGTGTGTTTACCCCCGGTTCTGACGGCTGCAGGGCCGGCGAAATTATTTTGCTATAAATAACGAAGTCGCGTAGGGCCGGCGATATTATGTTTGAGGATGTCTCGAGCGAAACGCTTGTTTTTCAGAATTTGTTGAAGATGTCTCGAGCGAAACGCTTGTTTTGTATGATAGACTGTCCTCTCCTGGGGACCTGAATTCAGAGGATCTCTCAAGTAAAATGCTTGTTTTCACGTGCCCAGGTCTTGAGGATGTCTCGAGCGAGACGCTTGGTTTCACGCCTCCAGGTTGCCCAGGCAGAGGTCTGGCGCCAGGATTTGTTGAGGATGTCTTGAGCGAGACGCGTGGTTTCACGCGTCCTCGTCGCCCAGGCGGATGTCCAGCATGAGGATGCGCTGAGGAAGTCTCGATCGAGATGTTTGTTTGCACGTGTCCAGGTTGCCCAGGCGGATGCCTAGCATGAGGATGTGTTGAGAATGTCTCGAGAGATACGCTTGTTTTCGCGTGTCCAGGTCGCCCAGGCGGATGTCTAACATGAAGATGTGTTGAGGATGTCTCGAGCGAGACGTTTGTTTGCACGTGTCCAGGTTGCCCAGGCGGATGTCTAGAATGAGGAGGTGTTGAAAAACATCTCGAGCGAAACGCTTGTTTTCACGTACCCAGGTCACCCAGGCGGACGCCTCACATGAAGATGTGTTGAGGATGTCTCGCGCGAACCACTTGTTTTCACGTGTCCAGTTCGCCCAGGCGGATGTCTAGCATGAGAATGTGTTGAGGATGTGTTGAGCGAAACGCTTGTTTTCACGTGTCCAGGTCGCTCGGGCGGGTGTCTAGCATGAGAGTTGTGACAAGATGTCTCGAGCGAAACGCGTGTCCCCAGCACGTTCCGTAGCGCGTCCCCTTGGCACGTCCCGCGGTGCGTCCCCATGGCACGTCCCCTGGCACGTCGCTTGGCGCGTCCCCTGAGACGTTCCGCGGCGCGTCCTCCTGGCATGTCCCCCTGTCAAATAGCTCTGGGGCAGCTACTATGTGTTCAGGCAGCTCGTGCTTAAGATCCAGATCAGTTCGGTCAGGACTCGGATGCAAAGGAGGACTCGGTCCACGACGCTATAGAGCACAATCGCGGCATGGCACATCGCAATTCAGCACAGCACAGACTTCGGCACTGTACATCATGATCGATACACTCAGCATTGCAACCTGGCTAGTTCCTTGGCACGTTCCGTGGGGCGTCCCTGGCGAGTCCCCCTGGCACGTCGCGTGGCGCGTCCCCTGGCACATCCCGTGGCACATCCATTGGCTAGCGCGTCCCCATGGCACGTCCCCTGGCACGTCCGTTGGCGTGTCCCTTGAGACGTTCCGCGGCGCGTCCTCCTGGCATGTCCCCCTGTCAATTAGCTCTGGGGCAGCTATTATGTGTTCAGGCAGCTCGAGCTTAAGATCCAGATCAGTTCGGTCAGGACTCGGATGCAAAGGAGGACTCGGTCCACGACGCTATAGAGCACAATCGCGGCATGGCACATCGCAATTCAGCACAGCACAGACTTCGGCACTGTACATCATGATCGATACACTCAGCATTGCAACCTGGCACGTTTCTTGGCACGTTCTGTGGGACGTCCCTTGGCGAGTCCCCCTGGCACGTCGCGTGGCGCGTCCCCTGGCACATCCCGTGGCGCATCCATTGGCACGTTCCGTAGCGCGTCCCCTTGGCACGTCCCGCGGTGCGACCCCATGGCACGTCCCCCGGCACATCCCCTGGCGCGTCCCTTGGGACGTTCCGCGGCGCGTCCTTCTAGCATGTCCACCTGTCAATTAGCTCTGGGGCAACTGCTATGTGTTCAGGCAGCTCGAGCTTAAGATCCGGATCAGTTCGGTCAGGACTCGGATGCAAAGGTGGACTCGATGCACGACGCTATAGAGCACAATCGCAGCATGGCACATCGCAATTCAGCACGGTGCAACACACCACAGCCCTCGGCAGGCTACAACAAGATCGATACACGCAGCATTGCATTTGCCCGTCACCCAATCAGGTGTCTTTGGAAACGCTGCCATGCGTTACATTTCTCTATTCCTTTCCGGGTTCGTGGGTCGATCATGTCCTGGAAAGGGCTCCGGCCCAAGGTTCTCTTTCAGGAGTTTACCTCCGGAATCGACGGGCGCAGGGACGGCGGAATTATTTGCGATAGAACAAAACGAAGTCGCGTAGGGCCGGCGGAATTGACTTTTGAGGATGTCCCTTGCGAAACGCTTGTTTTGCGTACGTAATGTGTTGAGGATGTCTCGAGTGGAACGTTGGTTTTGTGCTATAGATCGTTCCTCTCCTAGGGACCAGAATTCAGAGGGTGTCTCAAGTGAAATGCTTGTCTTCACGTGCCCAGGTTTTGAGAATGTCTCGAGCGAGACGCTTCGAGGATGTCTCGAGCGAAACGTTTGTTTTGCAGAACTCGAGCGGCCTAGGCGCCCCAGGATGCCCAGGTGGTTCTGGGAGTCCGAAAGCAGCGCAATTTACTGAGTAACGTGGCTCTGGGAGCGCGGACACGATGGTAAGCTGTAAGTGCACAGTGGCCTTGAGCTGTAAGTGCACAGTGACGTTTATTTTAGCATTGGATTTTAGCATTGGATTTTAGCATTGGATTTTAGCATGGGATTTTAGCATTGGATTTTAGCATTGGATTTTAGCATGGGATTTTAACATTGGATTTTAGCATTGGATTTTAGCATTGGATTTTAGCATTGGATTTTAGCATTGGATTCTAGCATTGGATTTTAGCATTGGATTTTAGCATTGGATTTTAGCATTTGATTTTAGCATTGGAATTTGGTATTGGATTTTAGCATTGGATTTTAGCATTGGATTTTAGCATTGGATTTTAGCATTGGATTTTAACATTGGATTTTAGCACCCGCCGGGGTTTCCGCATGCTTCGGCGCCGCGGTGTTCGGCGCTCAAGCGTTCGGCGCCGTTAGCATCGGATTTTAGCATTGGATTTTAGCATTGGATTGTATCATTGGATTTTAGCATTGGATTTTAGCATTGGATTTTAGCATTGGACTTTAGCATTGGATTTTAGCATTGGATTTTAGCATTGGAGTTTAGCATTGGATTTTAGCATGGGATTTTAGCATTGGCTTTTTCAGCATTGGATTTTAGCATTGGATTTTAGCATTGGATGTCAGCATTGGATTTCAGCATCGGAGTTTAGCATTGGATTTTAGCATTGGATTTTAGCATTGGATCTTAGCACTGGATTATAGCATAGGATTTTAGCATTGCCGTTTAGCATTGGATTTTGGCATTGGATGTTAGCATTGGATTTTAGCGTTGGCTTTTAGCATTGGATTCCAGCAGTGGATTTTAGCATTGGATTTTAGCACTGGCGTTTAGCATTGGATTTTAGCATTGGATTTTAGCATTGGAGTTTAGCATTGGCTTTTAGCATTGGATTTTAGCATTGGATTTAAGCATTGGATTTTAGCATTGGATGTTTGCATTGGAACTTAGCATTGGATTCTACTTTGCAGTACCGTGCACCGTGCACTCCATCGAGAACGCAACTGTGCACTTACTGCTGCGCACTTGCGACTTTAGCACTACACACTTACGGTTAACCGTGGCGCGGACACAGCGTAATTCACGAGGGGGCGCAACCCTGAGACCGTGGACGCAGAGTAGTTTACTAGAAACCGTGGCCCTGGCACGTTCTCTGGTACGTTCCGTGGCGCGTCCCGTGGCGAGTTCCCCTGGCACGTCGCGTGGCGCGTCCCCTGGCACGTCCATTGGCACGTTCCGTAGCGCGTCCCCTTGGCACGTCCCGCGGTGCGTCCCCATGGCACGTCCCCTGGCACGTCGCCTGGCGCGTCCCTCGGGACGTTCCGCGGCGCGTCCCCCTGGCATGTCCCCCTGTCAATGCTTAGCTCTGGGGCAGCTACTATGCGCCCAGGCAGCTCGAGATCAAGATCAAGATCAGCGCGGTCAGGACTCGGATGCAAAGGAGGACTCGATCTACAAAGCTATAGAGCACAATCGCAGCATGGCAAATCGCAGTTCAGTACGGCTCAGCGCAACACAACCCTTGGCACGGTGCATCAAAATCGGTACACTCAACATTGCAACCTGGCACGTTCCCTGGCACGTTCCGTGGCATGTCCCGTGGCGAGTCCCCCTGGCACGTCGCGCAGCGCGTCCCCTGGCACGTCCTCTGGCACGTCCATTGGCACGTTCCGTAGCGTGTCCCCTTGGCACGTCCCGCGGTGCGTCCCCATGGCACGTCCCCGGGCACATCCCCTGGCGCGTCCCTTGGGACGTTCCGCGGCGCGTCCTCCTGGCATGTCCACCTGTCAAGTAGCTCTGGGGCAGCTACGATGTGCTCAGGCAGCTCGAGCTTAAGATCCAGATCAGTTCGGTCAGGACTCGGATGCACAGGAGGACTCGATCCACGACGCTATAGAGCACATTCGCGGCATGGCACACCGCAATTCAGCATGACGCAGCACAGCACAGCCCTCGGCACGGTACATCAAGATCGATACACTCAACAATGCATTTGCTCGCCGCCCAATCAAATGTCTTTGAACATGTTGCCATGCTTGATATTTCTAGATTCCTTTCCGGGCTCGTAGGTCGATCATGTTTTCTTCCGACCGCTGAAGCACATGGTGAGGTGCACATGTAGGTTAGCTGCGCATGTCTCTGGCGAAACGCTTGTTGTGCAGACATTGTTGAGGATGTCTCGAGCGAAACGCTTGTTTCGTG